AGATAGATATAGATAGATAGATATAGAGAGATAGATAGATAGATATAGACAGATAGATAGATATAGAGAGATAGATAGATATAGAGAGATAGAGAGATAGATATAGATAGATAGATATAGAGAGATAGATAGATAGATATAGAGAGATAGATAGATAGATATAGACAGATAGATAGATATAGAGAGATAGATAGATATAGAGAGATAGATAGATATAGAGAGATAGAGAGATAGATATAGATAGATAGATATAGAGAGATAGATAGATAGATATAGAGAGATAGATAGATAGATATAGACAGATAGATAGATATAGAGAGATAGATAGATATAGAGAGATAGATAGAGATAGAGAGATAGAGAGATAGATATAGATAGATAGATAGATATAGAGAGATAGATAGATAGATATAGAGAGATAGATAGATATAGATAGATAGATAGATATAGAGAGATAGATAGAGATAGAGAGATAGAGAGATAGATATAGATAGATAGATAGATATAGAGAGATAGATAGATAGATATAGAGAGATAGATGGATGGATGGATGGATGGAGGTAGGTAGGTAGGTAAATGATAGGATATACCAGTTGCCAAGCATTTGAAGTTTGCTCATGTGACCAAGGGGAATGCTGCAACGGTCATAAATGTGAAAAACAGTCATAAGTCATTTTTTTCAGAGCCTTTGTTGCTTTGAAGGTTCAGGAAATGAATGGTTGGAAGGTCCCAACTGCCATAATCATCGGTCAAGAAATACCTGGATCTCTTGTCCTTTTTTTTTCTTTTCAATGCAGAAGTTGAACATTATTTTTTTTCCTTTTTACAGGTGGTGCTTTTCTGAGAGCGAAATTCCGCAGAGGCCATCGCACAAAGTGGTGTTAAAAAAAACAAACTGTTCCATGCGCGTGTGTGTGTTTGTGCGTTGGGTGGGGTGTTTTTTCCTAACCCCTACTTACAAGAGTTAAAGCAATTTCTCCCTAATCATTAAACTCAAGTAGGGTAAGCAGCAAAGGTTGATTTCTCGGGGTGAGAATATATCTTCTACATTCTTATATTTCTTCTCTCCGGGAAAGACAATTCACACCAAAGACCGGAAAGCAGAAAAATGATTTCAGTAAAGGGCTTGGGGTGGAAAAAGGCCCCCATGGTTAAATTTTCAAAATATTTTTCTTACAGTGTCTTTTTTTTTTTTTTAAGCAAGCTTGTTCTGTGTCAGGTGTGAAAAAAATATGGAAGTTTTCGTTGCTTTTGGGGGAAATAGCAGCAGCTGCTTATTTCCCCCCCCCCCCCCGTTTTTGCTTTGAAAGGAAACAATTAAAACGTTTTGCATTTTACAGCCGTTTTACGGCAGGGAACAAAATGGGGGGGGGGGTGCATTTGAACCCAAAATTGGTTTGCTCTGAGGGCAGCTGATTTTGTCCTGGTTTGTCCTCCACGGAGATATTTTTGATCTAGGCAGAGTGTTTTTCAGGCTTGAGAGATGGACGTTGGGTGGACTTCAACACCCAGAATTCTCCACTATGTTAAAGCACGCTGGCTGGGGGATTCTGGGAGTGGAAGTCCTCCCCTCTTAAAGCATGCTGGCTGGGGGATTCTGGGAGTGGAAGT